TTTTATTTATTTTCATATTTTAAACTAGTCGGGCAAGACTGAATTTTCCTAACCCAGCCGTTTACATTTTTCAATAAATAATTTTTAAAATTTTCTTTATGATGAAATACGCAACAGTAATAAAAAGTGAAATGCTAACAATCGAAGAAATAAAAATAGGGCCAACGTGCGCCGGTCTACTATACCTAATTTTATCAGAACTAAAGAAAGTATACATTCATTAGTACGTCAAGTAAGTAAATAAAAGTGTACTTTTTTACTGAAATATTGGAAAATAAATTGACTAATTATTATAATAATTCGTCAATATATTGTCCGATATTCCGGTTTAAAATGAATACTTGTTACAATGCCTTTTGATTTTAGGTTTTCAAATTATTTGCGATAAAATTGATGTTGATCATCTTTTTAGACTTTTGTTTCTCCTATTGAAGTGAAATTGTTTAAAGAATTGGATAAGGTGGAAAATAAAGACCCAGTTTGTGTGTCTAAACATGAATTTATTCGATGGATTGCCAGAAGTATTAATCAAAATGTATGCACTTTAATTGGAAAACACACCTTAGCTCGGAGTTAACTTAAGTTCACAAAAACACACAGTAACAAGAAAAAGCGAGTTACGAAATTTGCATAATATCTATTTTCTTACTCCCTACAATAACTATTATAAATATTATCAATTAACAATAACAATTATTATAGTTATTAAAAAAGTAATAATTATTATAAATATTAAGTAATTAAAACATAATTTTTTCAAACTTAAAATTTGAGGCAGTCAAAGATTTTGCATGTCATTTAGCATGTCATTTTATCATTTAACAACAACTAATCTTATTCTAATGTGACAAGCCTTTGGTTTTTGACTTTAAAGGAATCTCAACGCCCTAAATAACCAAGATTCTTTCAAAATACAGTAAAACCGTTAAGGGACAATTTTAAAAATATCTTCTCATGATTAATTCAAATGTATTTAGGCAACTCTTAAGTTTATGACACCCTTAACCAAAAAAATTTGACACACCCATACTTTGTTTAGTTTGTGATAAACCACTTTTTTTGAAAGCAACTGCATTCATTTAAAATAATAATCTGAACATTGTTTGCAAACTTAATGAATTTAACATCCTCATAAGTTTTCAAGTCAGCATTGGTAAATCCATGTCTGAATTTAAAATCGAACGAGTTTTCAAAGAAATGTACAAAAAGGAGCAATAATTTTCATTAAGCTTTTATAAAAAGCTTTAGATCTTACATTTTAGTACAAATGTTTTTAATGGTTTATTTAATGGATGCCACAAAAAAAAGTAACATTGATTTTCTTGGTTTTTGATGTTCCTAACAAGAAGCTATAGATAGTCACGGTATGAACAACCTAAAACTGTTGAACCTGAAATCAATGATGTTTACAAATAAAATTTTTACAAAACAAATTTTTTTTCTTCAAAAAATGTTTAAAAAAATGTTTTAAAAAAACTATGAGCGTAATATTTGCTTTCATTCATTCATTTTTTCTTTCATTCATTCATTCATACGATTTAACTTTTTAAAAAGAAAAGTTAAATCGCGTACAACCGCACGGTGGTTTCACATACAGAATATATGACGCCATGACGGCATTAGTATGTGTAAAAAAAACTTCTACCTTGTATTGTATTATATTGGTAACTGGTAAATCTGAAAACCATAAAGAAACTTTTGAACTTATTTGCAGCAACAAAATTTTTAAACTACGCTAGAAGTTCAAGAACCTATTGTTAATGTTAAGCCTTATAAAAAAAAATTAATACTATTGTTTGAAACTCTAATTAAGTGCATTTGGAAAAAAAAATTCCATTTTTATCAAATCGATAATATTTTAATTTTTAATTTAATAAATTAGCTATTAATAAAATTTTTTCCATGGCTCTAAAAGTTGAAAAAGTTTTTTTAACAATATTTGTGGCTATTTTAATTATATTTTTGGCTATTTTTACAAGATTTATGGCTTGAAGCATTGGAGCAACAAATGTTGCTGTAATGCTTCTGTACCTATGGTATAAAACTTTTGAGATATCTACTTCTTTCATAAATAATCACTGGTATAAAATTTTATGCAATGTCTATCTTTCAAGAATACTGAAAAATGTTAGAGTTGTAGAAGTGAAGTGTCATATGCTTTTTATTAATATAACTAATAAAAAAATTGCAGAAGTTAAGTATCATATGCTTTTTAATAATGTTTGGGGTGAATAAAACTTTAACAATTCTTGACAAAAATAAAAAATCAAATTTCTTTTGGGGTATTCTTTTTTTCGTTGTTCTTATTGGAAAGCTGGAAAAAAGAATACCCTGTACTGATTAGGGGTAAAAAAGTATCAAAGAAGTTTTCTAATGAATATTTATGTTGGGGCTAGTGTAATGGTATTCCCTTACTTACTCTGAGCTGTCAGTACACGACAACCTGGCATGCTGTAGTGGTTCGAGTTCAGGCCTAAGAGCTAAAGCTCCATGTTTAAACAACGGTTCAGGCCATATTTGCATTTATGGTAAGGAACAAGGCTTGCACTTTCTGCATAAATGCTATTCCGTGGTGCTTATTTTGTTCATAAGCAGTTTGTTATAAACAATGTTTAAATAAAATTGGTAAAGTTGTTTTAATAAGAAAAGACACACGTTAAGTTTTATATTAGTTTCGCATATTTATTATTATTAACTTAATAGAAATCCTTGAATAAATTACTTTAAAAGTTTTGCAAATTGTATTTGGCAAAAATATAATTAAAAGATTTAACGCTATTAATATTAATAACGTTAATTCTTTTAATTATATTATAGTAAATATATATAGAATAAATATATAGTATTTACTAGGATTTAAATTAAAATCAATATAATTTATCTCACTCTTAAATGCATTCCCTATTTTATTATTCATTATATTTGACTAAACTACACCAATTCCAACATAAACGCGTGACTGACGGGCTTGCATAGTGATTTAATAGTGATCTCGTCGATGAAACCCTCTAACATAAGTTTTTAAAAGTTCATTTCAAATAATATTTCTGAACAAAACGTCTATTCCCATCGTTTTGTTCAGAAATAATAAAAAAACTGAGTACAATAAAAAATATATTGACAAATATGAGCAAACGAACATGTATTTCCGCAGAGGATGCTATTATTCTCAAACTTGTTAAGAACTCTGAGATTGCAATTATTTTGTTGAATTGGATGGACAATCAAAAGGGAAGAGTCGGGTAGCCCCGGACACTTCAGGAAAATATAGATTGTACACATGTGCTAACATAAAACAAAGTGTTAAATGACTTTTTTAAAAAGTTCAATCATATATCTATTGAATTAGAAACAAAATATAATTATTGTGTATCTTAATAATATACAAAACATAAAAGAAAAAATGTTTGAAAAACAGCATGTTTCAAAGTTGAAGGGTAGCCCTTGACACATAGTTTAAACATGATTTTTCCTCTTTTTTTACCAGTGTGATGCAAATGTAATATATAATAATTTAGCATTGGACTGTTCTCGACATATTTAAAAAAAATCGCCTTTAAAAATTGCCACCGATATATAAAAGTTTATTTACCTTATGAATACAATATTTGCATATAATATAAGTACAATTTTCATTTTTAAGAGCTTGAAGAGTCTAGAGGTTACTTGCTAATTTCCTGTTGAAAACTTATTTTAGCGATGTTCTATCTGTGACTTGCTGGCCATAAAAAAATAGTTAATGTTTAACACAAATAGATAAATATGATTTAATTTAGGTTACTTTAAAAGTTTTCCGAAATTTAAATTCAATTTAAGTTCAATCGCTTTGTTGTTTCAAAAACATAAGGTTCGCGTTCCAAGAGCGCAATCCAGTGTAATCCACGATCAAGAATGAATAGGGTTAAAACAAAAAAACTATTTGTAGTTTAGCTAAATAGCTTTTTAATAAATAAAATGTTTTAATTTATCTAAAATGTATTTGTAAAAAAACTATAATTATAACTATAACTAAACTATAACTTGACAAAAATATAAAATAAAATATTAAACATTTTTTCAAATCATCAAGAATTCTCACAAATCAAAATGTTTCTTATCTTAATCTATCATAGATCAGCAGTTTTTTCAATTTTTAAAAAAAATCGACAATTTTTCCGATTAAAAAAAAAATTATATGTTTAAATTAAAAGCGTAATAATGTCGTTTTATTTGCTGTAAAAAAATCATAAAACTACAGGTTTTATTTTTTTATAATTTTTATTTGAAAAATTTGAAGGAAAAAATTACTAGTAAATGTAATTAAAAACTAACATTTACAAAATCTATATTTATACATACTCCAAGATAATATAAACAAACTAGGTAGCCAAAATTACATTAATGAAAAGGTACTTTATTCAAGGTACATATTTTTCATATTGCTAATCAATACAAAAAATGTGAATATATTTTTAATATGATTTAATGTAGGTTACTTCAAAAGTTTTCAAAAATTTAATTTCAACGTTTTGTTGTTTCGAAGATATAGGTTTCGCGCTCCAAGAGCGTAATCCAGTATAAAATTTCACATCCATGATCTAGTGTAAATAGGGTGAAAACATAAAAACTATTTAAAATTTGGCTAAATGGTTTTTTAACAAAATAAATTATTTAAAATATCTAAACTGTGTTTGGAAAAAAACCGTATTTGCAACTTGGCAAAAATATAAAATAAAATATTAAACTTTTTGTACAAACCATCCAGAATTCTCACGAACCAAAATGTTTCTTTTTTTTAATCTATCATAGGTCAGCAATTCTTCCGGTTTTTAAAAAAAACCAGCAATTTTTTCATTTTTAAAAAAACAAAGTATTTTCAACTTAAAAGCGTAATAATGTCGTTTTATTTGCTGTAAAAAATATTAAAATTAGAGGTTTAATTTTTTTATAATTTTTATTTGAAAATCTTTAAGAAAAAATCACTAGTAAATGTAATTTACAACCAACAATTACAAAATCCATACTTATACATACTCAAAGATATCTATTATCAAATTAGGCAGCCAAAATTACAATTATAAAAAGTTTCTTTTTCACGATACATATTTTCCATATTGCTAATGAATACAAAAAATGTGAATAATATTTTTATACATGAAGCATTTGAGCAGTTTTAATTTAGTACAATTTTTATACAATAAAAAAAATTTAAAAACTGTCAAGATATTATAACAAACTGCTAAAAACAGTTTAGAAAATATTTTATGTTAAATTGAAGCATTTTGTTCTATTATTTCAAGCTCATCAAAGAAAGTACTTTTTAATGTTGAAGTTGATTCAGCACGAACTCGCAATTTAATTAATAATTTAAAAGCAGATCTCAGCTGTTTGCTTTTATATGCATAAATTATTGGATTAAGTACAGTATTGAGTGCAGCAAAAAATAATGTTAGCCTTAATAGGCGAATGCCTTTTTTTACATCATCGTAATTATTTGCTGAGTATTTACCAAAGATGACGGAAAAAAACCAGTAAGTACCAAAAGGTGCCCAACAAATTAAATATACAAATACGAGGAAGCCTAACCATTTGAGGGCTTTTTTTTTTGTTTCAAAATTTTTTTCTGATACAGCTGAGTTTCTATTTAATGTGTTTTCACGTAACTGACCTTTAATATACAGTGTGTACAAACTGGTGAAGTATGTAAACAAGAGGGAAGACAAAGGCAACAACAATCCTATAATAGTTGTAAAAGTAAAGTAAACTAGAGGATTAACACCACGTGCCCAATTTCTTTTACATAGCTTGAAATTTTCATCGTATTTAAATGATATAAGGTTAGGTATGACAATTACAAAACTTAATGTCCAAGTAAATCCAAACACCCATTTCATATTTTTTAACTCAAGTCTCCATGATAGTTTTAATGGGTGGTTTATAATCAAATATCTTGTGATAGAAAACACACTTAAAGTTATAAATGATTCGATAGCTGCAGCGAAGAAACCAGACAAACCGTTAGTAAAACCGCATAGCAGGTTTGCATTAACACCTCGTATTCTTGTTTCGGCTAAGTCAATGTAAATAAATGGGTAGATGCTTAAACACGCAATTATGTCTGAAATTGCAAGGTTCAAAATTAGCAAATTGACGATAGTTCTAAGTTTAGAATTACAAATAATAAGGTAAGAAACCAAGCTGTTTGATATTATACCTAAAAAAAAAGTAAAAGAAGTCATAAACAAAATACACTATAAATGGTACTAAAAAATAAATCAAAGAGCTTAATGCATTATTTTATTGTGTTTATTTTTTTTAGGCCCATGATATATACTAACGTACACGTATTTTTTCCGATACATAAATAATGCATAGTATTTTTATAATTCGTTTCTTCATAAAAATTACTTTATAAAGCTATTGTAAAAAATTGTATTATAACAACACATTTGTTGCAACAGCAAGATTAATTTTTCAAAGTTGAGACCAATATTGTTTTTGCAGGTTGCAAGATGTTCACATAATTAGTTTAAACAATAAGAGTTTTCAGATTTTATTTTTTTGTTATTTAGTGCAGTGAACTTTTATTTTTCTGTTTATGTATTGTTTTTATTTATTTTAAAAACAGCAAGAGACACCGTGAGTTTACAAACCTTTTGTTACTTTTAAGCATTAAACAATTTTCAATTATCTCAACAATTAGTATTCAAAAAAGAATTCAAAAGCTAAATTATTTTGATGTGAAAAATTCTTCCCTCTACACTTCTTCCTCCCCCCCATCTCCCCCCCCTCCTCCCTTTTCCCTTAAAACAAAAACAAAAAAAGAACTTACCTTTCGTTAATTCGAATGTTAGGAAAATAAGTTTTTAGTAATTCAATTTTAGTAAATTTTAGTAAACAAAGCTTAAGTTTATTGTTAGGTTTTAAATTTTATTTAATATCCTTTGCAGAGTTCAAAAGGTTATTACAATGCCATACTTCCCAATCTCATATTTTTGGGAGGGCTGAAATTTCGAAAGCTCATAATTATTGAACATTAAGAATATATTAATTTAGACAAATAACGTTTTGATTATTTTAAACAAAAGTTTTTTAAATTATCGATATATTATATATATAGAAAGTGTCATTTCTAAAATATCAAAATGTCCTGCATATGTAATTATTTAAAGGGTAAGTATTTCTTTAGAAGGAATAGTAAGGAAAAAATAAATTTAGATATATTTTCGTTCCTCATAGTAACGGTCCAGGTTAACTGTTTTTTTTTTTCGGTTAACGTTAACTAGATTCTCGGTTAACTGATTTGTTGGTTTTTAATTTTCAATTTGTTTTAGTTAACAAAATCTAGATTAAATCTCGCTGCATAGTTATAAATTCAACTGGATCAGTTTTTATTCAAAATTCTGCAAATAATTATGAATAACTAAGACATAGTCTAACGCTACCTGTTGTGCAAACATTTTATATATTTTATGCGTCATAATCTTTGCAGATATGATATATTATTTAAAATAACTGTTTTTAAAATTTTATTTATTATAATCTGTTGTTTTTTAACTCTTGTGTTGTAGATAAAGTGGAGTTTACAGCTAAAAAAAATGTTGGAAGTAAAAAAGTCCTACCTTCTGTTATTAAAGATTTAGTATATATGAAAGATTATAAATCATTTGTTGAACATATTTGCATTGTTAGGGGACTAATAATAGATAAAGTTATTATTCGTGTTGGAATAAATAGTGGTCAAGGATTCTTAAAATTTGTTATGAATTTTTTTAATAAAGAAACAGATATTGACTGTCGAGAAAACAAAATTGTTGGTGTTAATAATGTTCTGGTATTAGCATTTGTCACAATGTTACTAAAAATCATGCGAACCTTCAGATAATTATCGAGAAATTAATGCTTAACAGACTTAACAGATTTAATCCCATTTTCAACTTTTTTTGTTTTTTTGTATGTTGCATCTTTTTTCATCCCCCACAGTTGGTAAGTTTAAAAATTACAATTTCCTAATCTAAGTATAGATGGCAAAATCAAAATTTTTTTCATTAATTGACAAAAATTTTTTTTCTGCTAATTACACTTTTTTTAAATTAAGCTTTAACTTCATCGACCCCTGCTGCGGATGTTAATGTCATTTCTTTTGTTATGACAATACTATAGATTTAATATCAATTTCAATTTTCTTCTTATTGGTTACAGTTTTTTTTTTAATTTTAGTTTCATCAACATCTTTCATAGTTGGTAAGTTTAAAAGCTATTTCTATCTTCACTGTGTATAGATCTAATGCCAATTTATAATACTTTTTTTCTAGGTTAGAACTATTTTTTAAACTTATACATCTGCCACAGTTGCACAGTTATTTAATCTCTGTAATGCCAAAAAATAGATGAAAAACAAAAAAAGAAAGTTAGAGAGCGAGCTGTGTGTATTAACTATTAGTGAAATAATGAATTCATAGCAAAACAACTTGAAGATTTAGATGATGTTAAACCTGAGAGAATAGTCACGAATTGCAGAAAACACTGTCATGAATGGTATGATAGTGACTCATCAAAGTCTATCATTTATGATGGTAGAATAGAAAAAATAAACGAAAAAGAGACAAAATGATTGAACTTAAACTAATTCTTACTGGAAACAAGATAAGACTGATACTGAAGTTGTCGAGCATAAAATGAAAAAAATCCAGCTAGCTGCCGATGTTGTGTTAGGGCAGTTAAGATTTTTTTGTTTTGAATATGAATTAATGTGAAAATGATTGAAAAAAAAGTTCTGCTAGTTTTGTGGACTACAAATAGATACAGCAAGTTTTGTGGCTTGCAAATGGGTACAGCAAGTTTTGTGGTTTGCAAACAAGTACTGCAAGTTTTGTGGCTTGCAAATAGGTACAGCAAGTTTTGTGGCTTGCAATTTTTTTTTGATCGATGGCTTTGGCTTACCTTCACGTGGTCTCTATTGTTAAAAATGATTTATTTCAGTTCCTAAATAGAATTCAAAACATAAATCATTTACTTAAAGCCAAGACAATAGTTAATTACATTCTTTATTTCAAAAGACTTGCTGCTGTGTGTTTTTTTTTTAGGTTAAAGTGGGTAGTCTTTCCCTTTACACGACAAAATGGATAGTCTGATACATCTGGTAATGTGGTAAAATAGTTTTTTATACTATTTTAAATGTGTTAAAAAAAGCATTTTTAAACATTTTTGTTAAATTCTCATTAAAGTTTTTTTTATGTATGGAAGATGGGGGGGGGGGAATAGGGCGGCTTACGCCCCCTTCCATGAAGGCAAATTATACACCAATAGGTACTTTCCAAGTATCGAGATATATTTTTTATTTTTTGAAATATAATTAATCTTTTTAGTAAAGATTGAAATACTTTAAAGAATGAAATTTTCGTAGGGTGTGTTAAACTTGACCCAAAACCCAATACTTTACTTTGAGATGATTTGGAATAAAGAAACAACAAGTTTTTGTATATAAATCATTGTAATTTAAAAAAAATACACTCTTTTATGAAAAAAGTGTATTTTTGTGAAGTGTAGGCGGTGGATTAGCACCCACTTTAGATCCCTAGATGCTTCTTTACCTAAAATCTAGTTGGAAAATATAGCCCTTTTTTATATCTATATTTTGATACTAAGTTATAGATTTTTTAATAAGAATTGTCAAAGTTATAACAATTTATGTGAAAGTTGGAGTTTCAAAAATTTATCTTTTCTTCTATAGAAAAATAAAATCAGAAGAATTTGAAATCCCATGGGAAAATTCCATAAGTTTAAGTGTTGATAATAACAAACTCTATGATTGGAAAATAAATTCAGTTGCATCTAGATTTTTTTTAAAAAAAATAATAACTTTGTTGGTGGCTGCCCTTGTCATCTTGCACACTTGGCTGCTAGTAAAGCACATGATTTTTTTATGATTATATTGCATTTATGTCAAAAATGTTATGAGACACTTGTACCATTAGTTTGATAAAAAAACAAAAATGAAAAGGCAAATTGAGAGAGTACTTTGAATTTTGTAATCAAAAATATCAAGACGTTCTAAAGCATCTATCAGTTAAATGGCTATTTATAGAGAAGTGTATTTCAAGAGCTATTGTCAAGTATACAAGCCTTAAAGCTTATTTTTCAAGTGAAAGTTTACTGATAAAAGGTTCAAGTGTTTATATAAAAAACTTCAAATTAAATTTTGGAACCAGCCATGCTTTTTCTAATTTCAGCATTACCTTTTTTTTTAAATTTTAATCTACTATTACAGCGAAAAGAGCCAACAGTTGATTGTCTAAAATCAGCAATGAAAAGTCTAAGCAAAAAGCTGGCTGAGCGCATTATTCTATCAAACAAACGGATAAACGTTTTATCTGTTTTAGAAATAGACTTTGAAAATTCAAAAAAATATATTGATACTCAAGATATTTGGAGGTCCGAAAAAATAAAAACTCAGGCAACTCTTTGAAACAGGAGATATTTCACAAAGCAATATAAAGAATTTCATGATTCTGCTACCTATTATTTTAAGTCGCCTCTTAAACATATTAGGCCCAAATTTGCTGCTTGGGTAGATGTTTTAGACCGTGAAAACTTGAAGTGGCAGCAAGTTCAGTATTTTTAGACCGGTTCTCACACTTGATAAATAGTATAAAACCTGATGAATTGTTTGAGGAGTTCAACGATTATAAGAATTTAAAGAACAATGATTTTGATGATAATGATTTTGAGGAAATCAAGATACCTAAAAAGGTTCTTGATATACTGGTGAACTTTTGTTTCATTATAGAATCGACATTTTAAGGTACCATAATTCAAAAATGGTTATTCCAAACACTTTAGTTAAACGTTTTAAACTGCTACCAGAATTAGCTGAAATTGTTTTCATTTTTCCCCACAGTAACGTGAGTTAAAATGATTGTTTAGTATTGTAAAAAAAAAAATGTCTTAAGAGATAAGCATTAAAGTTGGATGGGACATTATCAAGTATTTTAGCTATGAAAACAATAATTCCCAAGGCTACTACACTGTATTTACAATGGAAACAGCTGTTGAAAACATAAAAAAAAAAAAAAATGTAACATGCTTTTCTTGTTTAAAAAAAAGCACTTTTTTAAAAAAGTTTACGCTTCTCATGGTTTTTGTTTAAATCTCAAAGTTTTTTTTAATGAATCTCAAGGTTTTAAAAAAAAAATGTATAAAATGGTTAAAAAA